TAAATTATTATTATAAATAGATAGAAATAAGATATATTTTTTTGTTTCATTTTATAAATGATAACTGAATATATATTAATGCTTAATAATATTTCATTGCTAATTACAAAATTAGTTAAAATGTTTACATATACTTCCTGAAAATTAAGATATTTTAAAAATATTTTTCAACAGGTTTGTTAGAATTATATATATATATATTGACATGAAAAGATATCATGATTAAAATAGTTACAAATATTTTATATTTTTAGCTTTAATGAAATACATGTTAATTTTTATATATGTATTATATAGTTTTTGAATGTTAATCTCTGTTACCAACATATTATATTTTGAACATAAATACTTCTGAAAATAAAATATATAAATTAAATAATTTAATATATTTATTATATTTAGTTAAAAAATTATTCTACATTTTATAAAATATATTAGTGTATACTAATATGTTAAAACTAATACGAATTATTAAAATATTTATCAGAATTTTTTAATATTAAGATCTTGTTAAAATAAACAGATTTGTTTGATTTTTTTTTAAAAAAAATTAGTCATATTTTAAAATGAAAAAAATATCAAAAGATATTATGATTAAAGTAATTCAAAAGATGGTTCAAATTAAAAAAAAATCACACATATAAAAAGTCATGATTTCTATTTTAATAGATAAGATGTTTATATAACCAATATATATATATATATTGGTTGAATTGTTTACATCGGTTCAGTATTTTGAACTATACAATGTTTTACATTACTAATATGTGTAATTTATTAAAGAATCTAATATGTGTTTGTTAACAAATCGAGTTTTATAGGAGTTGATTGTTATATTAGGAATGAAATGTTATTAAATCATATTAGTGTGAATAAATGAATGTTAATTGATTTTTAATTAAAAAAATATCACATATTAATTAAAGTTATGACTTTCGTTTTAATAGATTAGATGTGTCAGATTTCTTTTGCTCTCTGCTACCCCTATTGTTTGACGTTATTGGGAACGGAAAAAAAATCTAAACTAAATCTTAAAACATATCTACAAAATATCTTTAAAATCATATTAGCCTCCTACCTATAGTTATCCTACACCTAACTAATCACTTGGTTTTATTATAAATATATAAATAGGTTGACAAAATAAACATCCAGTTTTCCCTTTGTGCTCTCTTATTAAAGCATGGCCATTTGCTCAACGATTTTTGAAAATGGAAAGAAAAAAAATACACACATCTCAAAGCCATATCCAGTGAATGAGCAACATTGATTACAATATTTAAAACAGCGTTAGAAAAATATATACTACTTGTTCTAACTTCAAATCTCAAACCTGTCTTTAATTTCATTTTCACTAGAGAGTACTAAATTATTGTCCTAATAAATATCTTATCCAATGTCCACACGTTTGTTCCCCCCATTAATATTCTCACTTTCAAGATCGGTATATTCGATTTCTGTTTGATTTTTAACTTTTCTCGGACGATCATTGAATTTTTTTTTTCCAAATATTTTCTTCTAGTCTTTCCAATCTAGACGACGATTTTCTTAGTTACTTTCTTCTTCAATCAATCTGTGTTATCTGTTCATCTTCATTCTCCCAGTTGTATCCCTTCATTTTTATATCTATCTTGAGTTTCTCAAAACTTGTCGTTAATCAATGAATCTGATGCTTTTCGAGAGTACCCATCTCTGCAAATCACGAAATCTCTCGTGAATTCTCAAATTTGATTGGACAGAATTAAGGTTAGCCAAACGATGAGTCACCACCATCGGCGTGATTCCGGCGGAGACGTAGTTCACGTGATACCCACAAACAACCCTCCGCCGGAGAATTGGTTTCCGAATCTCGGCGATAGCGCCGTGTGGGCGACGGAAGATGACTACAATCGCGTCTGGGCGGTGAATCCCGACGGCGACAACAATGGTCCTCCGAACAAGAAAACGAGAGGCTCTCCGTCGTCGTCCGCGAGCAACCGTACCAAAGCGATCGGGAAAATGTTCTTCAAGACGAAGCTCTGCTGCAAGTTCCGCGCAGGGACGTGTCCGTACGTCACGAATTGCAACTTCGCTCACACCGTGGAGGAGCTTCGTCGCCCGCCGCCGAATTGGCAGGAGATCGTGGCGGCTCACGAGGAGGAGAGATCCGGTGCGGTTGAGCAGCGGGAAGAGTATCAGATCCCGTCTCTGGTGTCATCGACGGATGAGAGTGGGAGATCGTTTAAAGGAAGGCATTGCAAGAAGTTTTATACTGAAGAAGGGTGTCCTTATGGAGAAAGCTGTACATTTATGCACGATGAGGCTTCGAGGAATAGAGAGAGCGTTGCCATTAGTTTAGGCCCTGGTGGTTACGGTGGTGGTGGTGGTGGTGGTGGTAATAGCAACATAGTAGTGCTTGGTGGTGGAAGTGGAGTTAATATTGTAAAGCCTTCAAATTGGAAGACAAGGATTTGCAATAAATGGGAGATTACTGGTTATTGTCCGTTTGGTGCCAAGTGTCATTTTGCTCACGGAGCTGCAGGTAAAATGATTTAATGGGATGGTTAAGCTTAAGCATACATCTTAAGCTCTCTTGTAGTTCCATTAGTGGGTTTTTTGTAGGTTGGGTTATGTTAGAAGGTTATTAAAGATCATTGGACCCTGAAGCTCTAAGCTGAGAGCTATCATTTGCCTAAGTCTATCCGGTTCTGTATCTTATGAAACCGCTTTAATTGTTTTTTTTATTAGGTTGTTGTTAGTTATTAACTTACTTTAAGAGTAGTAGAAGTTTAAACCAATGGTGCTTTCATGAATAGGCTTAGTGAGAGTGGATTATAAATGCTAACAAAAAGAACTAGAAAGATAGCATACGAGTTTGGTTTGTGTGTTACTTGGGTCTCTTGAGCTCGTTGAGGGACTGTTGGAGAACACTATTTCTTTATACTCGGCGTGAGGTTTATTTTTTGTTCTGATTGTGCAATGAAACAGGGCTGATAGCAAATCCGTCTTACATTTTTAGAAAGAGACTGTATAATTTCATATGGGAAACAGAGTCTTAGAATTGCTGAATTTTAAAGAGTTCTAAAGTGGTGTAGCTTTAAAGTTTGAGTCTTTATGATTAGCAGAGTTGCATAGATTTGGTGGAGGACTTGTCGAAGGAGAAGGCAAAGACGGCATATCGCCCAATCCTGACATAAAGCAAACAGGACCAAACCCGAAAGGACATTCAGATTCAACAACGACACTTTTATCTCCAGGAGTTCCCCATCATGCAGACGCTAGTTACCACAGTGGAGTCGCATTGCAACGAGCTTCTAGTGCTGTTACACAGAAGCCTGGGATCAGAACTCATCAGAAATGGAAAGGACCGGCGAAAATCAGTCTGATATACGGTGATTGGATTGACGATATTGAATGAAAGTTATCTCCTACTTTAAAACTCCAGTGATGATGGTACAGTTTGTTTGTAGAGTTTTGTATGTTTGTTGTATCTCGTTTTGTTGTTGTTGTACATTAAGACTGTTTTTTTTAAGAAGTTAGAAATGTCATGTGATGATTGTTTATATAGTTTTTAGATTTTAGTTTTTGATTTTTGGTTTTTAGTTTTTAGATTTTGGTTTTTAGAAGTTGATTGTTTCCTGTTTTTAAAATAGTTTTTAGTTTTTGTTTCTCTAAAAACCAATTTTTATCCAATCAAGTTTTTTGAAAATTGGTTTTCCTAAAATCTAGGGAAACTAGTTTCCCTAGATTTTAACATAACTACCTATTTTCAAGCAAAAACCAAAAACCAACATTTTCCGGTTTCTAATTTATTATTTCCTCATATTTATTTTCCGGTTTCTAATCGATGGCTTTTGTTTTTTTGTAATTTATTAAAACTCTTATTTAATAAATATTAATATGAGGAAATATGTAATAATACCCAAAATTCCAATGTTCTAAAAATCGCTAGGCGGAAATTAGGCGCTCTATAGAGGACTAGCGCCTAGGCGGATTATTCGGGGCCTAGGCGGGAATTAGGTGTTAACGGATTATTGATTTATTTTATATATATTTTACATTTATATAAGTGATTTAATTTTTTTGGTTTAATTATAATTTTATTTTAATAAATTATCAAAATCCGATATCCAAAATAAAATAAATTGTACATATTTGTAATTATTTCTTAAATTATTACTTAATTTAACAATTGTATACTAATTTAAACTAATTATAAACGTTTTAGAGCAATTTAAACCGATTTAAAACGGTTTAAACCGACTTGAATAGTATAAATCGGATTTTAAGAAAATCGTTTCGGTAAGAGGGGATTTGCCGCCTAGGCGGGCGCCTAGTCGGCGCCTACACCGATTTTTAGAACATTGCAAAATTCAATAACAAGACTACTATTAATCAATAAGAAAGCTACTGTCCAAATACACATAACAATATTAGTATAGTATATTCTTTGTTGATTATTTGTATAGCATAGTATACATGTGCATAGTATTGGAATTACAGTTTTGATAAAATAATTCCAACTTATTTTACAAATGATTTATTTTTTTAATGAAGTCTATCATAATTTGAATGTTTTGGGTTCACATAATTTTCTATGCTTTAATACCAAAGTAAAATATAATTTATAAAGTTTAAGGTCATCAATAAAATAATTTTTAAATTTCATGGTTATTATAAATATTATGTATACATTGATGTTTTATGTAAAAATAAATTTATAAAAGAAGTTTATCAGTTTTCTGTACTACTATTTTAACTAGTTTTATAATATTTATTTTATAATTTTTAAATAGAATAGTCTTGGCTTGAAAAGAACTACACGATAAGTTTATTTATTAAAAATAATTTTATTAAATAATTTATGTGTGTTTTGATATCGTATTTTTAATTTTATTTTTTCAGAATCATTTTTTTTTGTAATAAGAATTTTAATTTTGTTAATTTAGAAAGCAAAAACTAAAAACCAAAATTTTGAAACAACCATTCATGTTTTTAAAAAAACCAAAATCTACTGCAAAATCAAAAACTAAAAACTAAAAACTAGAAACCAAAATCCAAAAACCAAAAACTAAAAACCGGAAACCAAAAACTAAAAACTATAAAAACAATCATCACCTTAGTTTTTGGTTTTTGGTTTTTTGTTTTTGGTTTTTGGTTTTTGATTTTGCAGTATTTTTTAGCTTTTGAAAAACACAAATGGCAGATTTTAACTATGTTGTATGAAATCTGAAACGTGGAAACGAAACGTTTCGAAACATAGAAACATGATATTCAAATGAATTAGAAATTGAAACGTTTTAACAATTATATATATATATATATGTGTGTGTGTGTGTGTGTGTGTGTGTGTGTGTGTGTGTATGTATGATTATCTAAAAAAAAATAAGTAATATTTTTTTTTGTACATTTTATTAAAATTATCATCAATAACTAAAAAAGTAATACATGTTATCATTCGATAAAATTATGGAGCGACTTTATTCCAAATTAAATCATTATACTAAAATGATAACAAATATCAAAAGATAATATTAAAATATAATATAATAAACATGTAATCACTATAATCAAATGCCAAATAGTTATTTTTGCGTTTCTAATTAGAATCGCGAGTTTCTAAATAAGACTTGCGAGTTTCCAAATTAGAAACACAAGTTTCCGTCGTGTTTCCAAAACGAAATTTCTAAGAAACGTGTTTCCAAAGAGTTTCCTCGAGTTTCCAAGAGGTTTTGATTCTGAAATGTTTCCGAAACAGAAACGGACCTTGAACGGAGTTTCCATGCAACCTAAGATTTTAGTTTCTGATTTTTTGTTTTTAAATTTAATAAATTATTTCTATAATTTTTTTAATATTGATTTTACTTTCTTTATAGATTTCATAATAGTTTGAATGATGATTTTCAGCTTTATTTTCGAGATATTTAATTTATTTCTTTTTGAAGTTCAATCTCTATATCCTTTCCATCTTCTTTTTTGCCAATACCGATCATTTATTCTATTGTTATTTTTTACATGGGATGCTTGGTTTCATGGGTTTTTTTTTTCTATCATGAGACCAATCTTGTAGGTTAAGCAAACCATGTATTCGTTGTCCCAAAACCTATCTAACTAGTTCATGTTTTTGTAACTTGTAAACTAGTGCATTTCGTCGTTCTCTACCATATTCATAATTACACATTCGGAAAAATTAAAAGAGATATTTTAGAATACCTCATATGTTTCTTATATTTTACATGTTTGGTTTCAACATTGATTCTTCTCATCTATCTCTCTCTTTAGTGCCTTAATTTATTTCTTTTTTGAAGTTCAATCTCTGTATCCTTTCCATCTTCTTTTTTGCCAATACCGATCATTTATTCTATTGTTATTTTTTACATGGGATGCTTGGTTTCATGGGTTTTTTTTTCTATCATGAGACCAATCTTGTAGGTTAAGCAAACCATGTATTCGTTGTCCCAAAACCTATCTAACTAGTTCATGTTTTTGTAACTTGTAAACTAGTGCATTTCGTCGTTCTCTACCATATTCATAATTACACATTCGGAAAAATTAAAAGAGATATTTTAGAATACCTCATATGTTTCTTATATTTTATCATGTTTGGTTTCAACATTGATTCTTCTCATCTATCTCTCTCTTTAGTGCCTTACTCAAGGCTCGAACTCGTCAAGCGTTTCAACATTTAAGTGCCTTCGCTGACCGTATGAGCTACAAGAGTTAGGCGTCATATCTTTACATTTAAACGAGTTCTAATTATTTAGGCCAACAATCCGTAATGTAAAACGATTAGAAGTCGATAAATGACCAACATATCGATGACAAAAAAAAAGAACTACATATTATAACAAAAAAAAGACCAACATATCAAATCCAACATATCAAATCTATTTATTTATCCCCTAGATATTATTTATGAAGTGATTTAACAAATATCACCTTTACAACCACTTTTACTAAAAAAAAAATTTGACATGGTATTCTAGAACTGATGACATAACTTATAACTAAATAGTAGAATAAGATCCTCGCCTTGCGCAAGGTAAATGTTATAAAAAATATATATATATAATATTAAGTAGGTCATATATGTAGTATGATTATGTAGCAATTCTGTGGTTTTTGTCCGAACAATCTAAATTTTTGATTTTCAGTTCGATTATGATCTTGATTTTGGTTTAATTGGGTAACTTTTTGAAAATTTGTTTGGTTTTTGGTTTGGTTCGGTTGCTGATTCTTTTAAAAAAAATATAAAAGTTGAAAATACCCCAAATAACTAGATTAATTAAATTTAACAAAAATAACCGAATCCAAAATATTCGAGTTTTTAATAAAACTATACCAATTCTAACCGAAAACCAAAAAAAAAATCAGTTATTTTGGGCACAAAATTGAAAATAAAATTAAACGAAAATGTAAACCAGTTAATTTCAAAATGAATTTTCAAAATTTCGGTTAACCAAAAAATTCGGTTCGATTTGTTTTGGAAAATCGAAAGCGCAGGCCTATAGAGTATTCGATGCACAAATTCAACTTCATACTCATTTTCAATTCGTATCTACTTTACAAAAATATGTATGCAAGTTAAATTTTTGATGGCAAAACTTATTTATTAGAATGAAATATTAAAAACATAATATTTATTGTTTGATTTAGTTTATGCAAATGAACAATACTAAATAGAATATAAATTTCATATTAACATCCCCTAAATTTTAGAATTGAGTTATGGCTATCGATAGGATGAAACCATAGACTTAGGCACAAAGTATATACGCAAAATACTTAATAGTTGATATTAACACTAATAAACTAAAAGTTGCCTTCTAAGTAGAGTTTTATATTATGTTCCTAGCGAATCCCCTACTCGATTTTGGACCAAACGTTTTTTTCAATTGATTCTAAAGCTGTCAGGTAAGGTAAATTGGCATCTTAATTAAGTGACAATTCAGGCTCTTTTGTAATTATTATTAACTTAAGGTTAAAATATTTTAATGTTTATCTATTAATATATAGGGGATATATTTTAATTTAAACAATATTATATGATTCTATGATTATTTTCATCTTGTTGTAATAAAAAATTAAACCATTGATCAAAAAAATTTCAGTGTGGATTTTTTAACAGTACTAGTAATATATAATCGTTTAAAAAATTCAAAACAGAGCATATAAGAGTAAATCTATTTTTTTATTATATGCATAATATGATTATTTAATTTCTTTTAAGTATATAAAATTAAACAAAAATGATGGAGGATAGAAAAAATATTATCAAATCTTTATTATTCAATCATTAATTGTCATATATTTTTTATTTAAGAAAAGAATGGAGAATATTTTATAAACTTTATCATCTACTCTATTAAAATAGAATTCTGTTTTTATTTACTTATAATTGTTGTCTTTAAATTTTAGACCTATTCACATTTCACTAGAATTAAATATAACTAAATAACATTTCCTATAATTTGGGGATTCCACAATATATCCCCTTAAGTAGCATTATATCCTTTCCTAATTCATTAACTGGTTGTGTATTAGCCAAACTGAAACAACTT